TTTGTTCCGAGATGGGGGGGGGGGGAAGAAACCATGGCCGTCTGGTGCCGCCTGGTGGTTAAAAATGATAATTTCTTCATCACCGAATTCTCCAAGACATTCGTTGTGTCTTGTGCTAAACATGGGCCAGAGAATTGCAGGATAGCGGGTTGCCCGCCAGCCAGGCAGCTAACACGCTTCCCACGGGGTGGGGGTGGGGAGGGCTTCTGTCCTCACTTGAACCACTGGCTCAGCCTCGGCGTGGCCCGAAAGGTGTCGGACGTTTCACGCAGCACCCGACAGGCCCGGCAAAGGCGAGCGGTCCACGAAGTTTCCAGGACGGGCTCCAACCACGTACGCCACTGGAAATAATGCTGGTATCGCACGGGGTCCCTGGCCAGCTTCCCTAAGAACCGGGCCAGCTCTCGCACCGTCGGGAAGTCGTCGACGTGAACAAAGGCCTCCGGGGGCAAGTAACGCTCGTAGTTCTCCCGCGGTGGCCCCAAGACCACGGGGACGGCCCCAGCCAGCAAGGCGTTCTTCCAGAGCTTCTCGGTGATGTAGTCCTCATGGACGGAGTTCTCGAAGGCCAGGTAGAACTTGTAGTGCGACAACGTGAGCTGGAGCTCACGGGAGGACAGACCCGTCTGGGGCAGTCTGTAGACATCGACCGGGAAGTACCTCTGGAGTTGATGGTAATACTTTCCCTGGCGAGACCCCAAGGGCCATTTGCTAGAGACCAAGGCCACCAGCTTGGACTTAGGGGGAATGGTGAATCTTTGGGGGTTCTTGAGGACCCGGAGCCACCCGTACGGCGTGAAGATATCCGAGTCCCTCCGGTAGGTCATGGTGAGGTTGAAGAGACCGTCCATGGAAGCCAGGTTGCGGGAGCTGCTCGGAGGGTCCATATTGAACCAGATCCAGAGCTGAGAAGGGGGCCGCGGGGCCTGAGGCAGTAACAATGGGCTGCCGGAAACGTCCCGGTGGTACATCAGGACGGCGTCGGCTGCCGCATACTGGCTGCGGTTGGTGGTGAGACGGCATTGGTCCGGCCGGCCGAGCCCCGGGGAGCATTCCTCAGCGGAGAGAAAGGGCCACCCCCAGAGTAGGATAAGGAGGGGCTCGTGGTCCTGGCAGATCTGGGACCCTTTGGGCGGGACCGGCATGGACCAAGCGAGCCGGGGCGGCGGTTGGGGCAACATATCTGGGAAGGAGACGGAGCTGGCCGGGGTCAGCCTGGAGACACGGTGGTAGCCGTCGAGAAAGAGGAGCAATGGGCTCATGGTGGTCAGGAAGAAAAGGCAGGCCAGATACTTCCCAAAGTCTCGCCAATGTCCCGGAGATTTCATGGTGCCTCCGGGAGCTGGGGAGGGCAGGGTAAGAAGACAGACGTTTTGGAAAAGTCTTGTGGGATGAAAGGAACGCTACTCCATCGGCGCGTCCTGGCCCTGTGACATGTGGGTTCAGCTTGGCTCTCGTTTCAGGGTGGGAGGCAAGACAAGCTGCCTTTTGCAAAAGGCTCCAGGTGCTTTTTTTTTCACACTGTGGTTTGTGGCTGGTTATCAGACTACCATGGGTGAGCAAGTGAACCGGCCACAACAAAACCCATCACTCGTCCTTGACCTTCGTGCCTTTATGGGCTCATCTGGCTAATTCATCCACACCGCCCGGGGATCCCAGGTGTCTTGTCCAGCATGCTTATGGGTCCTTTTTTTAAGGTGGGTTAAAAAATATTTTAAATAAATAAGTAAACTATTGATGAACCTTTTCTCCAGGGACGCAAAGCTACGCAGAGGGTTCCCAACCCATTTCTTGCCTCCAAAGGATCCTGCGAGGGGAACTGGTGCGGATCTGAGATTTCCGCCAGCCACGGTCTTTGTCACCCACTTCTGCCCCTGGTTTCCCCAGAAGCGCCTTGATAACATGGGCCACACTCGAACCCACAGCCGCCTCTGAAGGCTGTTGATGAGGCCTCATTCTGACCTCACTGAGGAAAGGGGGTAAGAGGACCACGGATTGGTTGGACCATTTCTAGGTGCCTGGGAGAGGGAGGCTCAGTGGGTGGCCCTGTGACTGAGTGATTTCCTCCCCCCAATGCCCTGCATAAACTCAACCCTATGGCTTCTTTTAGGGTGTCCGTCCATCTCGTCTTGGGTCATCCTCGTTTCCTGCTGCATTCAGCGTCGGGGAGGGTGAATGCCTCTTAGCCGGATGTCTCGGCTGTGGCCGCTCCACCGTGGGTGACCCTCTTAGGAGCTGAGGCTCATAACGGGAATCCTGCCTTCTGACGGCATCGCTCTTGACTTCTCTGCCAGACTCAGACCCCCTCGGATCCAAAAATAGAACTCAGCCTTAACACACAACGAAGGACAACGATCATTAGCCTCCCCCATCCTTGAAGAGTTTTCTTCCCACTTTGGCTTTGCCGTGTCTTCTGTTTCTCCCTCCCTAGCTGCCTTCTCACTCCAGTTTGCTCCTGTCAGCCGTTCCATTACTTTTAAATCTCTTGAATCCAAGCCCCGTCTGCAAATAGTGACCAGAGGCCACCTTTTCCATCCTCCAGCTTGCCTGTCTTTCGTAAGTGGGGAGAAAGAGAGAGAGAGAAACAAACCACACCAAAATGGTCACTCTACTCCACTCACTCATCCCTGGTCGGAAGTGAGACAGAACGGGGAGAGCACCAACTCCGGCCACCATTTTGGGCATCACGCAAGCGCAGGACGTATAGGTTTCGATTCTTTCTTGTGGTTCTGGTTGTATTTTGTCCCACAAAGCAGGGGAAAAGCAAGGAGGGTGCCCCTCGCTGGACTTGCACCTTTTAATTTGGGATGGTGGATCCCGAGGTAATGCCAAACTCAACGTGTTCGTTGTTAAGGGGCCACAAGAACCATTCTCGGCATTGCTGCCCCAGAGGAATCCAGCTACCCCACTCAATTTTAATTTGAATGTCAAATTCGGAGGTTTAAAAAAAGTTAAAGAAAACTTTTCATGGTAAAAAAAACTCAACGGCATTGAAACAAGCCAGCTGGGCTCTCTTATTGGGTTGCTCAACTCACCGGAGGATAAATGAGAGGAAAATATTTTGAAAAGAGAATTTTACCCACCCAGACCTTGGTTGTCATCGTGGGAAGTGGCCTCTGGTGAGCAACATGGGTGGCCGAGGGAGCCACCCGTGAATGGGAAGCGAACTCCCGGGATTTGCAAAACATGCCGTTTTGGCCCTCCAGCCTATAGATCGGTGTTTTGCTCCAAGACCCCCCTGGCGTCGGCAGGAATGGAGGAGGCCGGGGGGGGGGTAAACTTTATATCTTTACACCTCAGCTCCCAGGGTTCTCAAATAGCCTTGCCTCCATCCGCTGTGAGATGATGGGTATTGTAGTCCAAATAATAATAATAAATGAATACATGGTGCCCCGCATGACGACGATAATCCGTTCCATTAAAATCGCTGTACAGCGAAATTGTTGTCATGTGGAAAAAAAAACATAGGAATGCACTGAAAACTGGTTAATGCATTCCAATAGGGGAAATACCTGATCGTCCTGCGAAGATCCTCCATA